CCCCGCCCCTCTAGACCATGTCTACTCGGGTGATCACCTGGCGGCAGCAGGGTAAAAGAGAGGATTGTTTGCCTTCGTGTGCTCTGAGTTTTGATGGTTAAGCAAGGGGGCACGAGGGTGAACGCCACACTTGCCTATTAAAAAAGGGGGTGCACTGGCATAAGATGTCAGCTCTCCTCTTGAGCTTGTGGCCGTTTCCCACGGAAACGTTTTGTTAAGTTATCCTGGATTGATTCCCAGTCATTCAAATGCAGCCAAGGAACCATTCACCTCAGGAACCATTTAATTTATTATTCTTTTATTTATTTAAAATATTCATCGGCTACCTTTCTTTTATTTCACGCATCTAGACTCCAGAGGTCCTTTGGTGGAGACATCTATGCCTGTGTCTTACTGTTGTGTTTTTTTAGCTGCTGTGCTGTGTAAAGTCTTTTTAATTCAGCCACATTTTAATCTTCCCTTTCTTCTTCCTCTCTTACAAGGGGCTGAATACTGTCATATCTCTTCTCCATTGGATGGAGAGGATCTGAAAAAGGATGTAGCACCGCACGCAAACTGATCTCCCAGGTTCATTCAGCCAACAACAGAAGCAATTATCTGAAAATTAAACGTACATTGTGTTCAAAGACCCATCCAAGTGTATTTTAAGAGCCAATGGCCAGAATCCTCTTACTGTAATAAGTTGAGCAACACAACTCCAACAATGGCATCAGCCACGGGCACGCTGTGGCCATTTTGAGGGGATGAGAAGCTTCCTACCCTTCTCTCCACCAGGTTCCAGGGATCTGTAGAGATCCCCTTCATCCTTGAAGCCTTTGGGACTGATGAAACGGGAGAGAATGATCTAAAATTGGAAAATTACTGCTGTTGATCCCAGTGTAACTTATACTTAGTGAATTTCTACCGTTGTGTCATAGTGGGTAATGTATTGGATTAGGAGATCTGAGTTCAAATTCCTGCTCAGCCATGGAAATTGTGATTTGTATTCTCACAAGTCACAGGGATATATAGGATTCTAGGATGGCCCCATCTCTGCTGTCCTTCCACAAGCAAACAAAGACCTTTATCTTCAGGCAAGCTTTCTCTAAGTGACCTGCAGCCTGAGTGGGGTTTTTTAAATGCATTGTCGTACCTTCTTGCTTTGAGTGTTTTTTTTTATATTGCTTATGTTTTCTGGTCCACAGTATTTGTTTGATCCTTTTAAAATATTTGTATACTCACTATTACTAGCTTTAATATTGTCTTTTAATGATGTAAGCTGAATTGGGTCTTTTTAAGGAGAATGGCTATGTATTTTGGACTTCCCTGTCTGGGAAAGTGGCTTTTGATTCACAGAAGCTCCCGTGGGAATGAAACTATAATGTGCAACAATATGCTATCCTTTTCCTCTCTTGCATGTCTATTTTCTGTGTTGAACTGAAACAGTTGCTTCTTTGGATGTCTCAGGGAGGTGCCAGGCCTAACACTGCTCCTTGTGTTATGGGGCACATGTTGAAAATCCTATTAAAATTACCATGGGGCAGAAGGAATTTGATGTTATGTAGCACAAGAAGAGACAGCAGCCACGAAATTAAAAGACGCCTGCTTCTTGGGAGGAAAGCGATGGCAAACCTCGACAGCATCTTATAAAGCAGAGACATCACCTTGCCAACAAAAGTCCGAATAGTCAAAGCTATGGTTTTTCCTGTTGTGATGTATGGAAGTGAGAGCTGGACCATAAAGAAGGCTGACCGCCGAAGAATTGATGCCTTTGAATTGTGGTGCTGGAGGAGACTCTTGAGAATCCCCTGGACTGCAAGGAGAACAAACCTATCCATTTTGAAGGAAATCAACCCTGAGTGTTCACTGGAAGCACAGATCCTGAAGCTGAGGCTCCAGTACTTTGGCCATCTCTTGAGAAGAGAAGACTCCCTGGAAAAGCCCCTGATGTTGGGAAAGTGTGAGGGCAAGAGGAGAAGGGGACGACCGAGGACGAGGTGGTTGGACAGTGTCATGGAAGCAACCGACATGAATTTGATACAACTCCAGGAGGCAGTGGAAGACAGGAGGGCCTGGTGTGCTCTGGTCCATGGGGTCACGAAGAGTTGGACACGACCAAATGACTAAACAACGACGAGGACAAGAAGAAATTATAGTTTAGAGAGGATTTTTTAAAAGTACATAATTCTCTGTTGAGGGATCTGGGATCCCATGGCTTCTTCCTTTCCTCTTTAAGCTTTGGAATTCTCTACTGCTGCCAGGGATGGGAACTTCAGCTGCAGGATTCACAGGATTCATTTTCAAGTCAGACTTAAGTTGCACCAGTGACTCAACTCAAGACCCAAAGACTTGCCAACATCCCTGGTTGCTGCAATGTGTTATTAAAGTCAGATCTGACTTATAGCCACCCTAATAGAGCTTTCAGAGTAAGTGTGATATATTATAGCCACCCTAATAGAGCTTTCAGAGTTAGTGTGATCTACTCTATAAGGAGTGTTTTTACCAGTTCCACTCCACCCCCCCTTTGGTTTTTCATGGGTGAGCCAGGATGATATATAAGGAGTGTTTTTACCAGTTCCACTCTTCCCCCCCCCATGGTTTTTCATGGCTGAGCCGGGATTTGAACCCACGGATCCTGAGTCTTAATCCATCACTCTTATCCACTACCCCACACTGGGTAGCGTGTAATTATCAGAAAGGGTTAAAGAGATGGAAATCTGTTATCCTAGAAGGGCCTCTAAGGAATCTGGAAGTGATGTCAGAAATCCCCCCCTTTCCCTTTCCCTGTCTGTCTCCACAATTACATTCCTCCCAGACAAAGCCATCTCTGAAAGGTTCCTAGGTGGATCTCCAGTATTGTCAGTGGCTTTTATTGGGAGGAACCAGGTGAGATCCCAGGATATTTTTGTAGGGGAGAAGCTGCAATATTCTGGAGTTTGGGGGGGGGAGAGTTCCAGAGCACAGAAAAGTTACTTTTGTTCAAAGTGTAGGTAAAGCATGGGAAGGGGGAGAGAAGAAGCTAAGGATCGTTGAAGAGGAAAGGGAGGGAAAGCCCCCCCCCAACACCAGGAGGGAAGCAGGACAGCCTGGGTGGGCAGAGGGGTCGGGGCGTCCCCTGCGTCCCAAGGAAGACCTGGAGGGAGGAGAAGGCAAAGTGGGAAAGCATTCAGATGTTCACCTTTAGGGTCACAGATTCCTAGTGTGGGGCAAAATTAGGGTGTGGCTTGAGGATGACAGATCAACAGTCGCAGAATAACGTGATGGGTCCTGAGTGCGAGACACGGTGCTCTTGTGCCAGGCAGTTCTGCGGTTGGTCAGGAGGTCCAGAAAAGCACAGCAGCGCCAGACAGCTCTGGAGCAGTGCCTGGTCAGCTCAGAGAGAGAGCTGGGGTGAGAGAATTGAGAGCAGGCGGCGGACCAGACAGAAAATGTTGTCTTGATTCAGGCAGGGAAGAGAAAGCAGGAGGCAAGACCATCCAATCCTGGTATTTTCAAGGGAATGAGCATATCTACTTCACCCGTTAGTCATAAAAAATTGATGCTCTTGGTAGCATTTTACTACTCTTTTAAACTCTGTTCCTTGTTGTCTTGTTGGGGTTTCTATTTCACGTGGAGGCTCCTTCAGAAATGGCCATGGATGTCCCTGAAGTCCAGAAGACAGTGTTCGGTACCAGAGTCTTCACGAGGAACCCACTGGCTCTTGTCGGGAGATCCATAGTTTATAGTGAGAAATCAAGCATATGTTTCCCTAGCTTTCCATTTCTTGATACTGGCGGGCTGCCTTTCAATTTTCCCCAAGTATGTGCATTTGAGATATGCTGTTACTTGGCTCAGTAATACTATACATGAGAAGAATCTTGGAATTGTTGTAGATTTTTAAAAAGCTGAATATGAGCCAACAGTGTGATGCGGCTGCAAAAAAGGCAAATGCAATTTTAGGATGCATTAACAGAGGTATAGTCTCCATGGGGTACTAAAAAGGTAAAGGTTCCCCTTGACAATTTTTGTATAGTCGTGTTCTACTCTAGGGGGCGGTGCTCATCCCCGTTTCCAAGCCATAGAGCCAGCGTTTTGTCTGAAGACAATCTTCCGTGGTCATATGGCCAGTGCGACTTAGACACGGAACGCTGTTACCTTCCCACCGAGGTGGTCCCTATTGATCTACTTGCGTTTGCATGCTTTTGAACCGCTAGGTTGGCGGGAGCTGGGACAAGCGACAGGAGCTCACTCCGTCGCGTGGATTCAATCTTACGACTGCTGGTCTTCTGACCCTGCAGCACAGGCTTCTGCGGTTTAGCCCACAGCGCCACCACATCCATGGGGTACTAGTCCCTCTCTATTGAACACTATTTAGGCCTCATCTAGAGCAGTGGCTCTCAAACTGGGGTCCCCAGACCTTCTTGGACTGCAATTCCCAGAGGCCTTCACCACTTGCTGTGCTGGACAGGATTTCTGGAAGTTGCAGTCCAAGAACATCTGGAGCACATTACCATAGTCTCTCGAGACTGAAGGATGCCTAATCTAAGTCATCCAGAGGAGGGGCAGGATCTGTTCTCGATCATCCCAGAATGCAGGACATCTAATAATGATCTCAAACTACAGGAAGCCAGATTTAGGTTACATATCAGGAAAATCTTCCTAACTGTTAGAACAGTGGGACAATGGAACCACTGACCTCGGGAGATGATGAGTGCTCCAACACTGGAGGCATTCAAGAGAAAATTGGACAATCATGAAATTCCTACCTTGAGCAGGGGGTTCGATGTGATGGCCTTATAGGCCTCTTCCAACTGAGTGATTCTATTTTCTTCCAGCCCCTTCCCCCATTTAAAAAAAGTTACATTTCGGCTATTAATCATTTAATATATCCCAATTTACTTATTGATGTGTTTATCCTAGGAAAATCCAGGGTGAAAGATAAACGAGAAAGATAAACGTTTAGCGAGAAAAGAAAGGGGCAAAATCTTCTTACAGTCTTTATGTTTCTCACAGGCAATAGAATTACTCTAGGAATATATGATCGGCCATCCCTTTTCTGTGGTGGTGGAGAAATGGTTATTACATGTCCAGACCAGGTATGGGGGAAAATCTATGGGGAGGTGGCGAAGGGCCATTTCTCCTTTTTCCTGCTCCTTTTTTGTGTATCTTCTGTGGACCTGTCAAAATATTTATTTTCCTTTAGTTTGGCCAGCTGCCCATTAAGAAGGCTGTAAGATTAATGAAAAAAAAATCATCCTGCAGGATTACTCACAGATGGCCACTTCAGTTTTAATTCCCTTCTCGACTGTAATAACACCTGGTCTGGTTTAGCGGATAGAGTGATGGACTAGGATTTCGGAGACCTGAATTGGAAGCCTGCGTTGATCAAGGATACTCACTGGGGAGTGGTAAAGCCACCCTTACAACATCTTACTTACCTTAAATTTTATTTATTTAATTTTTATACGGCCCATCTGACCGATGGTCACTCTGGGAGGTTCACAGCAATGACAATAACATTAAATATATATATATAATCAAATGCAATTCAATTTAATCTTAATTAAACTAAACTGACAAATATTTAAAAGCAAATAAAGTGGGCAGCAGTTAAATATAACTGGTGCTCTCAGTGGCTCTTCCGTTGGCTGATTTTGAAAAACCTGCTGACGTAAAAATGGTTGAAGAAGCTTCTTGAAAGACATCAGGGAGGGGGACAGGTGAATTTCAGGTAGTACTTCATTCCAAAGTCAGGGCACAAAAGCCCGATTAAGGTGGGTCTAAATTGGTTCTGACTTGAAGGCCCATGACAGGAACCTACTGGCTTGTAAATAATATAGGAAGGAACAAGAAGTCGATTATATATGTTATGGGGGATACTGAATTTATTATTTTTTCCCCCAGAGTCCTGTTTCTTTTGAAGACATTACGGTCTGCTTTACGGAGGAGGAGTGGGTTCTGTTGGATGCGGGCCAAAAGGCTTTGCACTGGGCAGTCATGGAGGAGAATTTGCCCCGTGTGGTTTGTCTAGGTACGTACCTTTTTTTTGTCTTGACTATGAAAGCCTGCTTGGCCAAGGAAACTCACCGTGGTGGTGGGGACCATTAAAGACGTCCCTTAAAATATCTCTGTTTGATCCAACCAGTTTGCTAAAGGCAAAATGAAAATGTTGCCTCCATTGTTGGGTCTGTCGGGATTTAAGAAAGAGTGGCCAAAATCCTGTGAGTTGCTGGATAGCTCAGTGGTTTAGGCATCTGGCTACAGAGCCAGATGTTGGGAGTTTGATGCTCCACGGTGCCTCCTGGGAGAAGAGCCAGCCTGGGTGGCCTTGGGCCAGCTTAAACCAGAAGGCTCACCATTAGACAGAACCAACTATTAATATAAGAGGAGGGCCGAAATGTCGTGTAGTTTAAAACATAAATGTTTTGAGAGCTCCATGGTTATGGAGCCAGAGGGGTGGGGGTTCGACTCCTCACTGCGTCTCCTTGAAAGGGACTGGACTTGATCCTTGGGGTCCCCTCCAGCTCTGAAGATCTAAGATGAGGAGGAGGATCCTGTGAGTATAATCACAGAAGCAGATTGTGTGGTTTTTCTGAGTTGCCCATTAGGCAGCTGGTCATTCTGTGAGCACCCAGGGGCAGCCCTTCTTGCCACAGCGAAAACCACTTGTGTGATTCCTTTTACATTCACTATTTTCTGCAATCAGATTTGGCCAGTAAGATTGAAGCGACCGCATGAATAGTGATATGAATTTTAAAAATAATTTGTCGGTCCTTTCAAAATACGGTCGCGTGGTTAAGCCTGTGGGAAGCAATCCGTTACTTCCAACAGCTTCCCGCTGGCAATTAATGAGTCTCAGCTCAGTAGCTTTGGCACATGCTTGAAAATGTCACCGGGGACTCATTAATTGCTGGTTAGAATCTACTGAAAAACTACACTGTTTGCCTTCTGTGGAAGCAATTCAGAGTCATAGAGTGGAAGAGACCACTGAGGCCATCCAATCCAACCCCCCTCCCCCGCCATGCGGGAACATCCATCAAAGCACGTCTGACAGATGGCCATCCAGCCTCTGCTTAAAAACCTCCAAAGAAGGAGATGCCACCACCCTTTGAGTCAGCCTATTCCACTGCTGGACGGCTCTGACCATCAGGAAGTTCTTCCTAATGTTCAGATGGAATCTCTTTTCCTGTAGTTTGAATTTAGCCACAGATTTTTGGCCATTAAGAATAATAATAATATGTAACGCTGCTTAGCAATGTGTTACTTCTAAATTTGAGAAAATCTCTTATAGTAGCTGAAACCACCCCCCAGCTAAAATTGTCTACCCTTTCCAATTATAATCTCCAAACCAATAAATTAGAATAAAAGGTGAGATTACGCTTGTCTTCAAAATATTAGCATCATTATAATTATAATGGCTGAAATGCAATCATAATAATAATGCTCATTGGGAGAAAGGCAGCTTGCAGGTGACATAAATAAAATAAAAGAATAATAAAAATATTAGTATATTGTATAATTTAGCTTTCAGTCTCTTCTGTTTCTTAGTGCCAGCAGAATTAATTGGTTTTCTTCCATGATTTATAATTTGTTCCTCAGTGTTGAACTGCATTATTTTCCTGTTACAGCCAGTTACATGCAGGAGACCGAAAACGTGGGGAAACCAAATGAATTATCAATGGAAAGAGTCCAATGTACGGAGAGGAACCATCAAAGAAGAACCATCAAAGCTAAATGGAAGAAAATAAATAATGCACTTTGTCTTCCTGAAGGCAATCGCCATGAGGGGCTAATTCAAGAAAAGGTGGACAAAACGAAGAACAAGTGTTCTTTGTGTGGGAAAAGCTTCAAACGCAACTCAAGTCTAAAAGCTCATTTAAAAGCCCACACAGGGGAGAAGCCATTCCAATGCTCAGAGTGTGGGAAGCGTTTCAGCCGGAGTGCCAACCTTGGTTCTCATATGAGAATTCACACCGTTGAAAAACTGTTTAAATGTTTGGAGTGTGGGAAGTGTTTTAGCCAGAGCGCAAACCTTGTTTCGCATCAGAGAATCCACTCAGGAGAAAAACCGTTTAGATGCTTGGAATGTGGGAAGAGCTTCCGATGGAGCAAAGCTCTTTCTGCCCACCAAAGCTGTCACCCAGAGGTGAAACGGTATAAACGTTCAGCAAGGAGGTTCCCTGTGGCGCGAGAGCTTCCTTCGCATCAATCGACTCGCACAGGGAGAAAGCCGTTTAAATGTCTGGTATGTGGAAAGGCCTTCAGCCAGAGCATACACCTCACTTCGCATCAGAGAGTCCACACAGGAGAGAAACCGTTCCAGTGTTTGGAGTGTGGAAAGAGCTTCAGTCAGAGCACACACCTCACTTGCCATCAGAGAATCCACACCGGGGAGAAACCCTTCAAATGCGCCGACTGCGGGAAGGACTTCAGATGGAATAAAGACCTGGCCTCCCACCAGCGCCTTCACACGGGGGAGAAACCATTTCAGTGCTTGGAGTGTGGAAAGAGTTTCCACACCAGAGGCGAGCTGTCAACTCATCAAATCATCCACACCGGGGAAAAACCATTTAAGTGTTTGGAGTGTGGAAGCAGCTTTCGGTGGAGAAGCAACCTGACGTCCCACATGAGGATGCATGCTGGGGAGAAACCATTCCGGTGTCTGGAGTGTGGGAAGAGCTTCTGCCACAGAGTCAACTTGAATACCCATCGGACGATTCACACTGGGGATAAGCCATTTGAATGCTCGGACTGTGGAAAGCGTTTCTGTCATAGAGTAAGCCTGAATTCTCATCAAAGAATCCATACGGGGGAGAAACCTTTTAAGTGCTTGGAATGTGGAAAGAGCTTTAGTCGGAAGGCAAGCCTCTGCTCCCACCAAAGAATCCACACAGGGGAGAAACCTTTTAAATGCTTGGTCTGTGGGAAGCATTTCAGTCAGAGCACCAACCTGGCTTCCCATCAGAGGATTCACACCGGCGAGAAACCGTTTAGATGTCTAGACTGTGGCAAGAGTTTCTGTTACCGAGATAGTCTTAAATCCCATCAAAGAACTCACACTGGGGATAAGCCGTTTAAGTGCTTAGATTGTAGAAAGAGTTTCTCATGGAGGTCAAATCTCACTTCTCACCAAAGGACGCACAGACGTGAGAAATGATACTGTTAGGACAAGACTGCAGAATGTGGAATGATTTTACCCATTAGAAGAGGACAGCGGTGATGATGGTTTGTGGTATTGAGTGTGTAGATAATAGTTGGTGGAAATATCTTTTTTAACAGGGACTTTCTACATTAAGAGCTGGCTGAATATCTCGGTGGTTTAAGCACCTGGCTGGGGAGCCAGAGGTTGGGAGTTCGATTCCCCACTTGGGCTTCCTGGGAGAAGAGCCAGCCTGGGTGGCCTTGGGCAAGCTGCACAGTCCCAGGGCTCCCCCCAGAGGAAGGGAATGGTAATGTACTTCTTTGTACTCTTTACTTAAGAAACCCTGATTACATAAACATCCTGTTTCAACTGTTAGATGGTTGTGCAAAAGTAGAGAATTAAGTCAGAAAAAAAGAGAGAACTTCTTAGCTGTAACTATAGTTATTTTTTTTAAAAAAAAGAGGTACCCAGTGTGGTACAGTGGATAGAGTGCTGGACTAGGACTCTAGAGACCACAGTTTGAATTCCCACTTGTCCATGGAAACGGTACCCAGTGTGGTACAGTGGATAGAGTGGATTAGGACTCTGGAGACCGCAGTTTGAATCCCCACTTGTCCATGGAAACTTACTCTGTGTGTGTGTGTGTGTGTGTGTGTGAACCTGTATGTGTCTGCCTGTGTGTCTGTGTGTTTGTAGTGTGTGTGTGTGTGTGTGTGAGTGAAAATCTATGTGTCTGCCTGTGTGTGTGTGTGTGTGTGTGTGTGTGTGTAACTGGTAAAACCACTCCTTAAATATGTCACTTGCCTTTGAAAGCCATTTTAGGGTTTCTGTAAGTCAATTCTGACTTGATGCCATAGAACAAGAACATACCAAAAATAGTAGATAGTTCTGTATTGTTAAACTACATGTTATGCTACGAATCCTTGGCCCTTATTTCATCCTTCTGATGTACACTGGATCCGTGAACGTAGCCCATGTCAGCTGCCTCTGTTTAGAACTTTTCTCTGTAATTCCTTTGCTCCACAAGAGTTGCTTTCAGGTGAGTAACAGACTAGCCTGGGAAACCCAAAGGCGGGGGTAACTCCACTTTGGGCTCTGTAAAATGATTATTATTTTTGTCTGAGAACAAAAGGCAGTCCCTGTGACCTATTTGGAGGATGAATCGCTGCTCCTGGAGCCTTTCAGGAATGGACAGCAATTCATATTTTTTCCTAAGGAAGGACACGTTATGGTCGGTTAGATAAGCGGTATCTCTTCTCAGTCATCCCAGAGTTCAGGACATATAATAATGGGCTCAAGCGACAGGAAGCCAGATTTCAGGAAAAACTTCTTATTTATTTATTTTATTATTTATTTATTTATTTAATTTATATGCCGCCCACTCTACCCAGAGGTCTCTGGGCGGCTTACAATAATTAAAATTCAATACAATAAAATGATTAAAATACAATTAAAATACAATTAAAAT